AAAAAAAAAAAAAAAAAAAAAAAAAAAGAAACTGGACCTTTTTCCCTAGTTTTTCAATAACATTTTTTAGCCTGTTTTTTGTATAATAAAGAATTTAGCTAAACTTTGTCCTTTGTTCCTGAGATGTAACCTCTAAAACCATGGAATTTATCAAGTAGTAGGGGTGTCTTTGTTATTCAAGGTGAGTCCCTAGAATCACACCTGAGTTTATGCTAATGAGATGACTCAGGATGGCAGCTGACCAGGCCACAAAAGATCAAACAAAAATTAAAGGGTTGAGTTTTTGAGTTAGACCTCAGTCAGAAGGAATGAGATCTCTCCAGTTTAATCATATGGCCAATGATTTCATCATGTCTGCCTAATGAAACCACAACAAAAAGCCTGGACATCTAAAGCTCTGGTGAGCTTCTTGGATGGTGACAGCCACTGATGTGCAGGTATCACATCCAGAGAACAGGAAAGCTTTGTGTTTGAGACAGGCCCAGACCTTGCTCTAAGTCTGTTCTTTTGCATCCTTTTAGTAAAACTAATAATAAGTATAGCACTCTCTTGAGTTATGAGTCATTTTAACAAATTATAAAACCTAGGGGACAGTAGGACTCCCAGAATCCATAGCTAGCTGGTCAGAAGTATAAAAGGCCTGGTATCCTCAGAGCTTAAAGCTGCTATCTAAATGGAAGGGAATCTTGTGGAGGTATTAAGCACTTAACTTGTGAAATCTGCACTAACTCTAGGCAAGAAGAGAGGATGGCCTAGTAACTCTGAAGCTTAAAGCTAGTATCTGAAATGAGATGAATCATGTAGAAATTTACTTAGGCACTTAACCTGTAAAATCTGCACTAACTCAATTTAGTCAGCATCAGAACTGCATTGTACATACCTTTTAATCTTCACATTCTAATCACTTAATAACAAAATCTTTATTTGGGCATTCTCTGTTCCAACCTGTGTTTGCAAATGGCAACCAAGTCTCTGATCTAATAAAGTTCTACAAAATGTCTCAGTCAAAAAAGAACTGTTTCTTGAAACTACAACACACTATCAAAATGAAGAAAAACACTATTTCTCTAACTCAACACTCCATCCATATCCTTCCCCCAATTCAGGAGTCAGTAGTATGTATATATAATAAATGAGGAAGGACTCAAAAAAAGCTGAAATTTATTAAAAATTGTATATCTATCTATTCTTACATGTTTGAACTGCAGTCACCTTCAAACTACTCTCCATTTGATGCACTACACCTATCGAGATGTTTACTTCACTGCTCAAAACAGTTTCTGAACTTGTAAATTTTGCTGCCTTTTAGCACTTCTGCCATTTTTTGTTTCACCTCTTCCATATCAGCAAAATGTTTCCCTTTGAGGATTTTTTTCATCTAGGGAAACAAAAAAAAGTCGCTCGGGAAAAGACTGGGTGCCTAGGGAGGGAATGGCATGGTGGGGTCATGCTATTTGGGGTCAAAAACTGTTGAACACTCAGTGCAGTGTTCGCAGGTACATTAATCAAAGTGGAAGAACCAGTTACCTGTTTCCCACAACTTAGGTGTTTCTTCTGCAAATTGTGAATGCAACCTTCTCAAACCTTCCCAACAAAAATTTTGGTTGACTATTTGATCTGGAGGAAGAAATTCTGATTATCCTACAAGGGGCTTACCCTCCAAAAGATAATATTGTTTGGGGTTTTTTATGGGGGGGTCCCCCCACCTTGTATACAGTATAGATCAGAAAAACTCAAGCTATTTATTCTTCAAAAGAATCAAAGTATTTCCATAAATATGGACAATTAAGACAGCTAAAGAAGGATTACCACATCCCAAAAATGAGGATGTGACCACATGCTATTAGTTCATATTGAAGTCGTATAGGATAAAAACTCTAACAAAAATATGATGGCACCTTCACCCACTTAACAATCTTCCCGTAAGAGACCCTGTCCCCAACCCCCATCCTCCACCACTATCTCTAAACTACCTCTAGAAACTCTGTGAATAGCAATGGCACATTTAAAAATTTTGGAGTCACACATGCCAGAAGAGGAAAGAAAAAGTATATTACCATTTAAAATAAAATGAAAAATCAAATAGTCCACTATAAAAGAAAAATTATAGTACACAGAATATTTATGAACTCCTTATCAACTAAAAGATAGTCCATTAAAAATTTAGAAAATGAAGCCGGGCTCGGTGGCTCAGCCTGTAATCCTGTGCCTTTGGGAGGCTGAAGTGAATGGAT